TGAAGCCGCCGGTGGCCTGCAGCACCTGAGCCGGGAACAGCTCGACGACAACCTGAGCGACCTGATGTCACACGATCCTACACAGGACTACAGCCACAAAGACCTCACCAAGATCATCGGGTCACTAGCCCACAACCTCCTCGCTCAGGCAAAGCTGGGGGAAGCAAGCATTTCACGCATGAAACAGATCAAAAGTCATTAGCTCAGACTAATCTTGGCTCAAACCCTCTTCTTTTTGAGACGGACACTATCCAAGACTCAAAAAAACTCTCCTCGAGTTTAGATTTTCCGGCAGTTTTTTATCTCCAAGTAAGTTTGTCGATCCGCTGTGGACTTTCCTATCTTCAGAAGAACCAGGAAAACCTCCAGCTCACTTCTAAAAGAACTCATCAAGAACCTCCGTTGTATACCGCATCAGGATTCTTGTTCAGCAACGAAGCCAATGCAAGTAACCGTTTACAACTATTTAGATGCATGTTTAAGTTTGAGCCCCTTTTAAGGTGATTTTTTATTCTTTGATGATTCTCATTAGGTTGTTCTTAATTGATGTGAAATACTGCCATTCTTTTGCTCTTCTCTCTCTGTTCCTTACTTTTCTTCATTCTGTATATGTGTTGCTTAGTCTTGTTGTATGTTAGCTGTAGTTTCATTTATTAAATCCCTTATATTCACAATTGATTGCCTCTGTGTGCTGCTCACAATTCGAAGTCACTGAATGTTTGATCCCTTGCTACATGCTAAGTTAATGCTAGTACTGTATGAATTGATAAATGATTATATTGTCTGCTTGGTGGACGGACAGATCAAATAATTGTAATCTTGATTCTGCTACAGTTAATTCTAAGATCTAATCTAAATATTTTTTAATTATAACCAGTTATAATTAAGTATAAATATTTCCCTTTTGAGCTAATTTGCTACAGCGTTTTGACTGTCGTACAGTCTGACATTATTGACAACTGAGATCCCACAGTGTGACATGATCATCATGTTCATACAGTCTGACAAGTACAATCAGGGCTGGACTGGGACAAAAAATCGGCCCTGGCATTTTTTGTTCCAGGCGGCCCAACACCACTTCGATATATATATATATATATATATATATATA